TTCATCCTGTAGTAGGATGCAAAACAATGAGAGGCTTATCACTTGCAGTAATAACTTAATATTAAATTTCGTTAATAATTTAATTACTGCTGCCATTTAACTATAATTTATTAATATCCTGTATAAATAGTATTTAATGATAAGCACAATTACTTCTGCTCCACTGGAAGCAAATTACAACTTGGCATTCTCTTTGAGATTCGCTAGGAAATAGGAAGTCGGATCATAATGAAGAAAAGAACACAGTAGTTTCAGAATGTTTCCAAAATTTACTTAAATGTTTAGTTTCTTGGACTCCAATTCAATAAACAATGAAAATTGGAAATTGTTAGCGCAACAATAATTCTATCTTAGACATATAAATTAATAAGATAATTTTGTGTAAAATAATTTGGAAAATATATGTGAAAAGCAAGAATAGACTAATGTCCAAAACTAAAAAGGTACTTTCATTCCAAACTCTTATCATTTTAGTTATTAATCTATTGCACTTTGTGTAAGACAACCAAGCTGACATTCTAAAAATAATCATATGGTACATATGAAAAGATTATTCATTTTTCAAATTTGTACAGTGTATTAAACATTTTAATTCTTCAAAGAATTCTTCGTTTTACATGGCTTTTCTATTAAAATGTTTTGTGAAGTAAACTTATTAAAGATGAATTTTAAAGATAGTATTGAAACCATGATTTAATACGTATTGTTAATTGCTATTGCTTAGCAGTGAAATAGAGAGCTGCCTTTTTGCTTGCTTGAATTGTCATCAAGAGTAAAGTTTGTCGGATGATAGTAATTAAATGATATATTATTAATTTTGAAATCAATATAGTCATGTTCAACTAGTTACTTTATTGCAATTTCATAAGTTATGTCTTTGCAATGCTTCGAAGCACAATACAGTTAAAACATAACTCGAATATCTGCAATACTATAAATTTTTGATATCTTGAAGCAGTTTTCATTCCCTTCAGTAGTTTGTAATAGCAAATGGATTTTTAATCACTTCAATATTGATTGATGGAAGAGATTTCTCTTCAGAGGTACTTCAAGATGAAGTATTTTCATAATAGATATTATTTTAAATTATTATTCAGATTTTATTGAAGTAACTACATGATTGTGAATTTGTGATGTTTTACTATTATTTTCAAAATCAATATTTATCACATTGTATTACTTGGAGAATTTTTGTATAACTCTTGTAGAAAATTTACCATTGTTATTCCGATTTAATTTTAATAAATCTGTGTCATTTAATTTTATTATTGAGTTGTTGCTTATCCTGAGTCACTTCCGTGGCAGGGTATCCTGGGGTATCCTATATGACCTACAGAATACTAATATTAATTGAAAATTACCCTAAAAGGAATGTTCAAAAAAATACTGTGCATGTAATTGGTGGGAATCTTACACAGGGCCGGTTCACTCAATGTTAAAAGGCGGGGGACTAAGTTTGTTTCCTCAGTCCCGGACCTGGTGCAGATCAAGCGCAGCTGTTGCGTTTTAGGGCGCTGCATTTTCAAAGTAAGAGTTGTCGGCGAAGATTAATTGTTTGTGCGTGTAGAGATTTTCAACGAGTATTATCTGCTTTTCTTTATGATTACATATTAACTTTATTTTACAATAATATTTTTCCAATATTTGTTATTAATGGCGGTTTACTAAACAACCAACTTGTAAAGTTGGATTTATTTATCCATTTACTTGCTTCTAAAAAGGCAAAAAAATTAGGGCAAAAGACATAAGTTTTAAATTGATCATTTCCTATGGGTCTGTTTTTAGCTCCGTATGGTTTTTTTACCTAGATACTAATCATTGAGGGGTCTGATATCAGGCATACGCCGCGGTGAACCCACAAAATCTTTTAAATGAGAAGTACATTTACTAGTTTTCATCACTTCTCATGTGTTCACGTCTAGTGTGGGAATAAGCTTGTCAGCGACCCCTGTTTAGCATGGGTCAGAAACAAGGGTATATCGGCCTCTTGTCCAAGAAAAAATTTTTACCATCCGTTGTTCTGTGTATAACTTACCATGAACTCCAAAAAACCTCTTTACTAGTTAAAACACTTATTTCATCAAAAAAAAATTACAACAATATTATAGACCATGTTTTTTTGAAATCGAAATTCTGATTTCAAATAGTTGTCCTTGTCTCCTCCTTTCCACTGAAATGGTATTTTATCAATATACACAAGGAAGAAGAGATTAATATAATTAAAATTAGTCAAGGGATGAATACCGGGTTTTATTAAGTTTTAACAATATCATATTTTTTTTTTTCTTCAAGCTGAGTACATAAAAATTCCATGTTTATTAATGCTCAATCTATCTCTCTAAGTGTTCTATAAAAGCTAAGCTTTTATTTATGGTGACATTAGACAAACATTGTTACCAGGAAGGAGCTAGTAATTAATAAATATACAGTGATAGATTTAACGCATTTTTCCTTGCAAACATAGCCCTCGGTGTGTAAAAATTGTTTTTCCTAAATTTGCCATTATACTACAGACAATTGAAATGCTGATAAAAACTATTATATCATCCAAGTCCATTAGTAAACTAACTGGCTACATAATTGCTTAATTTGTTCATTTCATAAGCCATGCCTGCATATTTAAAGTATAATTATTAATGAATTTTTTTTGCTCCAATATTTTCTTCAATTTATGTGAAAAAGTCTCACTCAAGAAATATACTTCTTTCGTATAAAATGCTCGCCAAATATAGATTTAAGTCTTTCGTCCTCTTAACACTTAAATTTTTATGTAATTTGTAATATTTGAAAAAATAAATTAAGATCATGATTTAAAAACTATAAACAACATTTGATATAAAATCATGATTGAATTATCATACCACCCTTTATATTTTTGTGACATTTTATTAGCCAAAAAATAGAATGTCTCTGGTAACACTATCAATCATTGGTACGAGTGATTTATTTTGGTTGTCTTTGAAAACCACACACAAAATAAAACAAATTTATAATTAATACTAGTTTTTATGTTTGGCAAGTTGATTCGTCTTGTAGTAAGTTAAAACTAACGTACGAGGTCAATGGTGCTTAGTTCTGGATGTAAAGAGAGGAGAATGGTTTGCACATATGTTTACATAAAAAAAAAAACTTGGATTGTCATATGAAATTTGTGGAAGATATAACAATTTTTAATTTGGCCAGTTTTCTCGCTAGTTTAGGGCCATATGGTTAAACTTTAAAAATGAACGAGTTGGAACCAGATTTTCTTACTGTCTTTAGGCTGTCGACTATGACAGTATTTTTTTTATAATTTCTATAGCTATTGATTGGTTACTGCACTTTCAAATGTAACTCATATTATCTCACAGATAGTCCACAACTTACAATATTCTAACTTATCCTCATTGAAACCTACAATGGGCAGATCAAATTTATACTAGGGAAATTGTTCTAACCGGATGACAGAATTTTTGACGGTGTAAATGTAGAAAAATTGGATTCGAGATGCTTTTTTTACTATAAGGTTGAAATTTATCAATAATATTATATAAAGAGACTTTAATTTGGTTTCAGTATGTTACATTACCGGATTCCCAAATTTGGGCCTTACATTTTAAATTAAAAATATCTCAATATATTACCTTTTTTAGGGCCAAGAAGTATGTCTAATATCCAAAAAGTATTTATACCTAATCGGTAGATAATTTTAAAAATTAAACGGAGTTAGATATTTAGAGGTGACCAATAATTTATTACAGACACAGTTCTTGGTAATTGACACAATTCGAACAACAAGTTTTTTACTTGTTCTTCAGCAATTCAAGGAATTGGTTTTGATATTTATTAATATATTTTTCAGTGCCGGGTGTTTAGGGGCAAGTCTTTTTTTGAAACACAAGGCAATTTATATTATTTGAAAAATTATATTCTGCTGAAATAATAAATATTTGTCTACAAATATTCAAGGGACTAGCAGCACTCTGTCAGCATCAAGGTAAAACAATAGATTTCACTGGGCTTAACAATCATGTAATAAGATTTCTGAAACTGTTCTTTGAGGGAAGAGAGGGCTGGGCTTGTAGGGGAAACACTGTTTGCATTTACAGTATAGCCATCTTTACTAATGTTAGTGAGAGTTCAAATTTGTTTATATCTGCTCATTATCTCGCATATCTGCAACTCGGAATCAACCACCAAGAATGGGAAAACGGTAACTCGATGCCACCTAAGCAACAATAAACATTAATTACAATTCAATCATAACACTACATGAGAGTGATAACTATTCTAGAAATGCACACAATAACTGAATATGTTATTTGAAAATTAGAACATTTTGAATACCAGAGTATTGTGCAAAACAATAGGTATCATTGGATATACATAATGAACATATGTACATTAAGCTTGTCCAATTCCATAGCGAAATATATTTAGGGAATACAATACTTTAAACAAATAGATATTTAGAATAAATGACATGTACAAGGTGAGATTATACTACACTGGATTTACGGATTTTTAAGACATTTTGGCACAATGATGTATTAATGTTGCACAGAAATGAAAATAATCAATTACAATTAAGCAACAAGATTCCAAAATGAATTATAAATACCTCCTCCTCCTCCTCCTTCCGGGATAGGCGAAAATCCTAGTGATGCACTTGTCTAGCACCAGTTTTCTTAATATTTTCCAAATACTGAAAACACAGTTTTAGACATGAAAAATAAATATAGCGACACAATTCACTCTACTTATAATGCACGACATTCTACATAATAACAAAATGCTGAAAAAAATCGATAAAAAAGAGCACCTATCTGCTTGCAGCCTGCACGTAACGAAAAACAAACACCGCCTACACATCTTACATTACCCCTACCACCGCTCACCTGGAATGCCGCCCGTTCGAGCGCAGCACTAACGCTAGCCACGAGAATTAACACGTAGTTTGGTAGCACTGTCCGGCTCTGATACACTCTTTGCTATCTACTGTCACACCACTGATCCGCGCAAGTTTTCTTGAGCACTCGCTTTGCTAGTTGCGAGAGGTATGAGGAGTTTGGTTATTTTTTCAAAAGGAATTTTGTATCAAATTTGTAGTTTGAACTCAAGAAGACGTATATGTTCATGATTGTTACAGTCCCGTAAAAAGTTAGTGATAGCTCCAAACTAGAGTGAAGCAGTTCCATTTTCGTCGAAAGGAAGAATCGTAAAATTTGTGTCATCCATTTATTCGCAGTGGGAAATAACAGGTGCATTTGTCTGTCAAAAGTATACCGATGAAGAAAGAAGTCGGTAACATTAATATTCATCACATACGTAAGTTCAAGTTTCCTTGTGGCCACGTCATCAAAACATCGAAATTACTGCTTATCATAGTATTCATAAAATAGTTATTCTATAAAATAGATCTGATGAAATAGTTGGTATACGAATCACATAGTTATCTGCTAAGTGATATTAATGTGCCAAAAGATTATGCCATGTGTTCAAAGTGATTGCAAAGCCACGATTGTTTGGTGTCAAAATACTTCCCTGAGTCAAAATGTGGTATTGGTGTTATTGGATAAAAAACCTGTATTGTATGTACGGGCATTGTGAAGCTTGGAAAAAATTGCTAGAAGATATTTTATGATAAAGTCAAAGCATATTTTTCAGAATTGTGGTGGCTTATTTGCCTTATGTGTCTCAGGACATGGAATTTGAATTAAAAATTGATGTCTAATCATATTTTGTAAAAAATTGCCACCCCTATACAAATTAATTTCCCATGGTAAAGTCTACCTCTAGGATTAAAAAGTGTGTTATCAGATTTATTTAAGCACAACTTAAATACTCAAGTGGTCTTGCTCTTGTACTTCTGCGAAGAAAACTTCAAATAGAAAGAGATCCTTTTTCTACTTGTTTCTTCTCTTGCATAATACATTTTATTTTCAAAACAAGGATTTAATTATCCAAATTCAAAGGTCATTGTGTTATCCTAATTGTATTATGTTAGGCTACTCAAAAAACTACTTTTAAGACAAGTTAATAATAAGTTCTTAGTATTAATGTATTACAGCACTGTTTACTCTTCAACCTCTACTACTCTAATCTTTTACACTATTATCTAATTACTCTCATCTTTTATACTAATACTGTCCAAATGTCATTCTAAGTCATGTTATTTACAAATCACATCCACACTGCAGTTTCAAGCATTCCTGTCTTTCTCATCATTTGTCAGAGTTGAAATTTATGTTAGTATTTAACGAGTGACTGAATTGGAAGTTTTTTGTTGGCTTTGTGAATAATGCTTGATGGCTCAAGATACTTTAGTCAAATCATTTCTATCTCAAGTCCGTGCACAATACCTAGGCTGAAGCAACTTACTGTTTCATTACAGTATGATAATCCTACGCGATATGATATTCTCCAAAAGAGGATATATTAATAGCTTGGCTACTCGTACAAAAAATTGTAATTTATGGAACGTATAGTATAATATATATATATATATATATATATATATATATGACACACACACACACACAATTTTACATAGTATATTATGCTAATATTATTGCTGAGACTCACAGCTTATACACTAATCTGTATTACCTGGCATGTTTTCTTAAGCCCTTGTTTTGCTAGTTGTGAGAGGAGTTATGGTATTTTGACAAAAATAGTTTTATGTCATATTTGTAGTTTGTTTTTCAATGTAAAATAGTTTAATTACATGGGAGCGAACATTTTCAGTTATCAGATTTTGTCTGCAATGCTTGTTTCTATCATTTATTCTTCATTCAACCAATGTTGGCAACGGAGTGGGGGTAGATATTCCGGGGCTCAAGAAAATGTGCATGGATAATACATCTCACTATTTTCTGTACAACATTTTCATACACACATTTCTTAATGTAAATATAAGAAAATAGATTCTAATATTATTATGATTTTTTTAAGTAAAATCAAAATTGATAAATTTTGTGTATTTAACAAAAATCATAATTTGTTTAACGCTACTTCAAAGCATTGAATATCTTATTGATAAATGTATTGGTTTGACAATGGGCCTTTTTAAATTGTCACTTATTGTATTAAACAGTCTAACACCAAATTACATTGTTTTCTCTTGCTTGTTTTAATTATTTATTACACTTCGGGATACGCACAGTTTCTTTTTGTAATATCAATATTTTGTCAAATTGCTCCCCAAGATCAGTGCAATTAAAACTGGCAGTTTTTTCAAATAAAATCTTCTATTTCTTCCTCCATGTACAGTATTTCAGATTGGTATTTTTAATTTTTTTATGAATCCTTTTAATAATGTTCTTTTATGTGATTAGTGGTTTCACAGTTCCATCTTGTTCTCCCCAAGCTACTACGACTACTACTAAGTTGCCACTGACCAAAACAACAAACAATAAAACATTAATAACCGTGTTTTGCTGAGAATTATTCTCATTTTACAATATACAAAAATCAAGTACATTATTTTAGTGGTCATTTTGAAAATATGAGTCTCATCATCTTAAATTTTGGTCTATTTCTGTTCCCAAATACTTCTACTGTATTAATCACCTAACAATTACATTTAGATATCGAACAGCAAATTTTATGGTCTTAAAATCCGTTTACTGGAACGTATGGTCAGACGGAAGAGCAGGCCTGGTGGCTAGAGTCTCGCCACGTAATATAAGGCATTAATTCAATTCAATTCACTAGCATTGTTACTACCAAATGTTATGTACACAGCTGTGAGATTATTGAAACTTGGTTTTTATTCAGTCAATTTGCAATCGTACAATTCATCTTTTGCTTTTGTTTTCTTCTGCAGTACCAAATATTTCCTGTACAGTTACACTCATATTATCAACAAATGACATAAAGTGACCAAGAATTCAGAACTGTTTGACAATAAATTAAAGATATTATTTATATATAACATAAATGAATGGTGTCATGATGGTCCTTGGAGGTACATCACATCTCAAAATCGTTTCTGTACTGTGTCATTAATTTATTAATTAATTGCTCTACGTGTCTTCTATCCATCAGGTACCTAATTCATCATCATATCATGTTAGACTCTAAACCCCATTTTGTATAATTTCAACAGGATTTCATGATCAGTTATAACAAATGCTAGCATTCAAAATTTAAGAAATTTGATATACAAGGAATTTTTTTTTGTCTCTTGTGTTAGAGGGTCGATCTGTTAAACTCTATTCATTTTAAGTAAAATCCCTGAAAATATTTTATAAAATAATATTTTTATATTAAATAGAATCGTACCTTTGATACTTCACACAATTAAATTCGTCTTCATAAAACAGAGGTACCTCCTCAATTTCAAATAAAAATTAATTTAAATTAGTTTCAAATAAAATTTTTTGAGAGAGCACACCCATTTAATTATTGCACTTTTTGCTTATATTGTTTTAAGATGTTATTCTTTGAACTATACATCTGCAATAATTCTCACTTTGTAATAATTTTGATGAATTAACTTACCTTTTTGTGAAATGGTTGTTTGGAATAGATGTGTGTTTTTAAGTCCCGAAGTGAAGTCAAACCTTCGATGAATATAAAACATAATTATTGTGTATTGCATATATGTGCACGTGTACAAGGTGTGTCCAGAAAATAAATTGAATAAATCCTTAAGGAACCATTTATTGAAAATAAAAGAAGATATGTTTATTATTTTTCAAATAGGGTTTGTCAGATATCCACTATATGAGAGGACAGTCCACTTTTTCCGTTCACTCCCCCCCTCCCAGAAATAATTCTAATTCAAAAGTTTTATGATAAAATGGTACTAATCTAAAGCTGTAATAATAATCTAAAGCCTAATTCTGAGAGAATAAGGATAGGAAAACCTCGTTTTGTCATTTTTTTTTTTTTCATAAGTTAGAATGAGACAAAGATTGATCATCCATTAAACACAATTTTCTGAAAAAAATATTAATCATAATCGATTGTTTCACATTTAATACAAGTATACAAAATTATCATCATAAAATTTTTCTTAATTCACATTTACATATAATTTTTATATTTCTCAATGTTGTACTGAAATTAAAAAAAAACAACAACTTTAAACTCAAAGAATTGATGAAAGCTGTGCAGTCAAATTAAAACTACACGTGACAGCAATGTAAAATGTAATTTCATATTTTACATTCTACTAGTATTATAATATATTTGATGTTTTGAATGTTAAGTTGGTTTGTAGTGATTATTTTAATGTGTTTAAATGTTTGCAAGAAAATATATAATGAAATTGCAATTGAAAAAAGTTATACTTAATGAACCCCTCCCCCGCTTGTCCGCCATTTTGTGGAAGCATATCTGGCAACCCTACTTCAAAATAGCAACAACACTTAGTCTCCACTTCCATCGGCCACTTCGCAGCTCCAGAGGGCCTCCCTCTGACACGTCGTGCGCGGCTTTCCCGGTCTCTGTTGTTGGGCTTTTACGAAGCACATTAGACTCAGCGTCATTAAAAATGAAAGCTTCTCATTTGATAAGTTCGCCCCCGTGCTCACTTTCATTATCCACCAAAAAATAAGCATAAATAGTTTTTATATCACTAAGCCTAGTGATCTATTATTTGAGTAAAAATGTAGATATTTAAGACATGAAGTCTTTCCAATGAACTAAATTACTTTAAAACTGCCATTTTTATGTTCAATTCCTCAGAACATAGAAAGAGAACATTCCATGTAAATTGGAAAAAGAAGGGCGGACATGTGGGAACCCTGCCTTTAAGCTTCTCTTCATTCGAGGAAACAAGAAGTCCGCTGGTGCCAGATCGAGACTAGGGTCGCCGCACCGCGTCGGGCCAGGATCTCGGCGAATGAAGGCGGTATGAGACAGCGTTGCGGTGGAGTCGCCTGCTCCACGTGGTGACGCGAAGCACCGGGGTTCGGGGCCTTTTAAGGACTTTCAATGGAAATTGAATGGACAATGCCATTGTAATAATAATGAAAGCCGATGAACGTGACTTGCACGAGTCGTGAAGGGCGTCGTCGACGTACTCTCTCCCCTCCTGGCAGAGCCGTTTCAGCAGCATTTTAGATTTATTCAGTCCAGAAAACAGTAAACACTGTATGTGTCGTAGGGGAGAGAAGATTTTCTGCGCGTTCTCTTGAGTTCCAGAATCCCTTCTCATCATTTTAACTATAAACAGTTGAAAGATGAGTAAAAGTTTAAAATAAATAAAGAAATAAAAATACACTTTTAAAAAGAGCGAGATTATATTTGAAAAAAATATATATTTTTATTTCCGAGTGATAGAAAGCTTATTTGCATCGGTACACAAATTGCAAGTATGATTTTTCTGCATTGCTAACAAAATAGCAACTCGCCCTTACCTCTACACTTATCATTACAAGCAAATGGAGAGTTCAAAAAAAAAAAAAAAATTAAAAAAGCGCATAGTGAAGCTACATTTATGTCCAGAAGCAAAGCAAGGGACCATCTCAGCATTTGCTCAATGGATCACGGTAACTGGACAGAAACCTGATCGTGATGGGGGAGGGCCTTGGGCTTAGGTTTCACTTATTTAGTCAAAAAAACTGTAGGTGACGTGTGGCGGAGAAAATCAACTGCGTATGTTCTTTATTTTATTTTTTGAAAATGTATTAAATATTTTTTTAAGAACTACCGGGGAGCCTTCGGGCCCGTATGTTAACACGGCAGTGCCTTCCTGGACATCTTGTGCTACCTATAAATCGTGTTTTGGGACATCACAAATCCCCATAAGCTTGTTTAAAAATTGTGACGGTTTCGAAGCCTGATATTCCTAACTTAACACAAAATGGCTGGTAGCTATTGAGGAAATAGTAGCAATTTTATCAGGTACCGAAAAGGTATTGAATACCGGTAAAATACCGGTATTTTTCCATACCTCTATCAAATACTTTTATTATTTTACACCGGTAAAATTCCTTTACAGGACATCCATAAAGATTAGACGGTATTTTCTGTGGAAAATGTCGCTCACTCCACACACAAAATAATTTTCTATCGTTAATCATTTTTCGAAGTGGTTTTTAATAAAATAAAAATCACGCACGCACTTGCGCCACACACTCAAACTCGGCAGAAAATTTGCTCATCCGTCGCTCACAGTTCAATGAACCACGCTGCTAGAAGAAATTGACAATCTGGAGTATATCAAGTGCTTCATGAGCTAAACCCAATGAAGCCGGCGGCGATGGTGTAACGGTTAGCGTACTGGACTGTTGTACCCAAGTTGGCGGGTTCAAACCCGATCGAAGCCGTGAATTTTTAAGGGCGAAAAAATCCTTCGTACGCCTTCCTTCGGAGGGGAAGTAAAGCCGGCTGTCCCATGTTCGTAGATTTACTTGCATGTAAAAGATCCTCAAGCCTAAATGACGCCTCTGAGCTAAATTCAAATCGCCTGTTTCTCGCCCAAGAAATACCTCCTTTCTCTCCTAGTTGGTGAAAGGAGCGTAGCGAAATTTGCGTGGTCAGACGGAAGATGGCCCGAGTCTCGCCACGTAAAATAAGGCAAATTCAATTCAATTCAACCGTAGACGCCCGTTGGACCGTAAACGCTGACCTCCGGAAGCTGTCCACACAACGACGCTGCTGTCGCACAGTAGCAACTGAAACGGCGATTCCAAGAATGTAGTTTATTTCTTAATACGGCAAGAGGATTCTCTTTGAATTAAAAAAAAGTAGCGTCTGCATTGACGCAACGCGTCTCAAAGTCCCTAGGGGGCGTTGAGCGCTTTGCACTTGGAGTAATCCTCCAATAACATTATCCGTCTTTGTCATGTCTCGTGACAGTCAGCTGTCTAGAGGACCGCCAGCTACGCGCTCCTGCGTAACTACCCAGCTGCTGAATTGGAAACGATTTACGTAGCATGCGAAGATGCGCTTGATGGAATTCTAATTTACACTGTTTTTACACTTGGACAATATTGTGTACATTTTGTTGAAATGATAAAATTATTGATGGCCCATCCTTGCAATTGGGAGTTTGTGCACGCCATAGCGGACAGTGCTATCGATCTTCTACGCATGCGCAGTTGCACTAGGGATGCGAAGCTTGAACTGCGCACGCGCCGAAGATTGACAATGCTTTATCGTTTGAAGGTGCACAAACTCTGTACCAACTGTGTTTGGATCACGGTGGAAATACACGGGTTCCTCCAGCGCACCGATTCTTGCTCGCTCTGCGCAACACCAGCTTGCGTCTCGAATCACGTGATCGCAGCACGGGCATTTCGTTTGAAAAGCCAGACCAGACGCTGGCCACCATGTTGCATGGAGGGCGAGTTGTGTTGAGAAACATTTTGAAAGTGGTACAAAGTGACAGTTTTCAACGGTAACCGGTAAAAAACAACGTGGCGTGGTGTACAAGATGTTTTAAAAAAATGCTTCATAAGTCTGTTGGAATGTCTTGTAACGTGATAATTTTGGTTTCTCTCTGCATTTAAAATTCCCGCTTATATTGTGACACAGTGGTGTCGACGCTCATTGGCTGAAGTCGAATACGACGCGCAAGACCCTCCTCGCCTGATTTTGATCATGATGCTTGTAATCCGTTTTTGTGGTCTTGGCGGCACCGAGACAACGGACGCCCTGATGACGGATAGCTGACAGCGACGGCGCGCGGCGATGTGCGCACTTCCGTAGGTGGCAGGTCGCTAAAGGTCCCCCAACCGATTGAGGCAAACATTCTTCTTGCAATGCTTTACAGCACTAAAAGATATATTTACTACTATTGAAGAAGCTGGTAAAATTTCACGTTAATCCGAGTATCCATTAAGGTGAGTTTTACTTGTTAGTGTTAGACTGATATGATAGGCAGAGAAAAAACATTATAAAATGGTAAAAACATTACATTAGATGTACGTATGTACAACTATTAGGGAAATCACAGTTGATTTTTTCTAAATTCCGTAATTAGTCACGTAAGTGTAGTGCATGTTGAATTTTAGGAGGAGGGCTGAGTGAGCTAAGTCAACAAAACCACTGCCTCTGTTAGGACTATGGCCAGGAAGTTGTAGGGTTCGAATCCAACCGGTGGCGTACTTTTCAACTCTAGTTTAAATTAGCTGCTGGCATAGGCCGTACTTCCTCTTCTTGTACTTGTCTGAAGACCAGTTAAAAGCATAAGTTTGTTCCGGAAGGGGCGCTGCCCCGCTGGGGGAGATTCTTGGATGGGGAATCCCCGACAAGCCGACATGTAGGTCAACACCGGATCTCAATATCAAGCGCCTGAGAAGCACATCTTCATCCCGGGATAAAACGTGCAGTGCAAACAACGGGGCACTGACAGTTGACGTGGAAACTGCCAGAAATATGAACCAATCTAATGTATAAGCAACGTTTGTTTTTTTGTTCGTGCTTCATGCGCTGCCGTACCGTTCAAACCGATTGCGATAAATCTTTGTCAACTTATTGATTACTGTTCCGGGAAGAATATAGGCAAAGTACGGTGGGAGTGTGAATATGCCTACGCACATAGTTGCGCGTTGATGATTTTATGTATACTCAAGGGCCCCTGAACATGTCCTCTACGCAACCCACTGCACCCCGAAGTACAATTATTAAGAAGTCTTCATTGCATATTATGTCCCAGCGATAGACATTTCTAGAGGAAGCAGAGGCACAGGGAAAGAGAGAAAGAGAGAGAGAGAGAGAGAGAGAGAGAGAGAGAGAGAGAGAGAGAGAGAGAGAGAAAATGAATGAATCACACTCGTGAAAAAGTCTTTCGTCTATTGAAATTGTTGCAGAGCGTAGCAAAACAGTGATTAACAATCACGTGGACAATAGCGTTTGAAGTGTAATACACTGCGAAGTGTAATAACGAAGCATGGTGGTCCACTAGTCAATCAATAAATCGGAGAAGACTGTTTATTTCCCGTTGTGAATGAATGCGGCGTTGAGCAGTACTGGGGCTTCAAGCGTGTTCCTCTGCAAGTAAATCCTGATCAGTCACAGTAGGTTCAGACTAGCTTCCCGAGATGTCTGGCAGTGTAGTACGTGAAAGAGTGTGTGTATTGAAGGCGACGGGATGAGGAAGAAAAGATAACGCGCGATTAGTGGCCCTTTTCGTGGAGAACTGCTTCAGCATTCGCCTGGTACTGATCAGATAAACAATGGAAAATATCTGTTCAGAAAACCACTATAATTCCTTTCCAGCAAACGGCAGAATTCAACCTAGCTAGAATATAACGTGTCGAAAATCCCTCACCGTTGAGACTCGAACCTTAGGACCTCCAAAAAATGTTTTGAAGTCAATGGTTGTTCCTCTCAGCCACCTCTGCGCTAAAAATCACAATGTTTTCTCCTAAATTACCGGCATTCTCTTAGAAATACAGGTTGAATACCTTTAAATACAGTTATCTTACCGATATAGACGTCCGATATAGGTAAAATTCCGATGTTTGACGTCGCATACCGGTATTTTTAAACGTATTACGAATAAAAGTTTAATAGAAGTAAAGGTATTTTTGTACCAGCATAAATACCTTTACCGCTATAATTTCGAAATACTATCACTGATTTTGGTCCCCCGACGCGTCACTAGTACACATGTATCGTATACAGTACGAGAAATCCGCATTGCCCAACAGCAGTCGGCAGTTGGCGAAATACGCTCCCCAACACCCTCTTTTCCTTCATCCGACGCAACATTGCAGTCTCCCAGGTGGCAAGGGAAAATCATTCAAATTACTTTCCGGACACACCTTGGATGTAACAAACGACAGTTGGTATGTTTATGATTTTTTTTTGTTTCCAGCTAAAGATGACGAGTTGTTTGCAAGAGAGGTAAGTGATAAAAAGTCCTGCCTCTGTCTCTCCTTCCGCCCAGCAGCCGCCCCTACCATCACCGCCACCACTGCCACCATCACCTCCACTACTTCCACCAGCACAACCACAACCCACTGCCGCTACCACCCCCACCTCAACCGCCACCGCAACAAATAGATAGATAGATTTATTAAAGTTCGCTTTGAGATACTGCTCGGTGGCAAACATGGTAACAATTAAAATTAGAATTACTAAACATTTTAAACATTTACAATTGGGTTTACTATTAGAATTAGGGAATAACTACCTGCAGAAGCACTAGAGGCTCTTCCTTCTAATGTAAGCCAATTAAAATATACTTCATTCCTCTAGACATGCTCGAATAATACTGACCGAGATAATCTAAAATTTATTATATATGTATTAATTATTAGGTATTATGTATTATTATTATATTATTATTATTATTATGTTCACAAATTATATAATCCGTCATGACCCTTAAACAGTGAAGTGTGGAAGTGTAGTGTAGTAGGGGAAGGGAGTGTAGAGCGTAAGTGAAGTGGAGTGCAGTGTTGTGTAGTGAGTGTTGTGTAGTGGTAGTGAAAGTTTATGTAAACTAGAAGTGAATTAGAGTTAGCCTAGAAATAAATTGGACTATTATACGTACGCCCCTAATTCTAATAGTAAACCCATTTAGTAAATGTTTAAAATGTTTAGTACATCCCTCTAATCTCAATTCTACCAGTCCTATTCCTGCCCACAGCAGTATTCTCCAAAGCACAACTTTAATCATACAATCTAATCTACTCTTAACCTTTGTTGGCCAACGCTGAGCGGCTATCGAACCACAGACTCTCGACTTGCCGGCGCTACCACCCCCACCTCAACCGCCACCGGTGCAACAGATAAGTCAGGACCCTAGAGATATGGAGTTTATTGGAATATGTGCTGGTAGATATCCGCGTGATGTGAATTATCCCCCTGATGCGTGGCAGTAGCGATGGCGGGCCAAGGAATAGAGGGCGCTGCGCGGAAGATAGAGACAGAAGCTAAGCGAACTTTTTATCATTTACCTCTCTTAGCCAACAAACTCGTCATCTTTAGCTGGAAACAAAAAAAAATCAATAAACATACAACTGAATCGTTGTTACCATCCAAGTGTTCCTGAAAGTAATATTGAATGATTTTCCCTTGCCACCTGGAAAGACTGGCAATGTTGCGTCGGATGAGGAAAAGAGGTGTTGCGGGAGCGTATTTCGCCAACTTTCCGACTGCTGTTGGCAATGCGGATTTCTCGTACTGTATTACGATACATGTTCTGTGGGACGCGTCGGGACCAAAAATCAGTGATAGTGTATTTCGAAATTTATAGCGTAAAGTATTTATGCTGTATAAAAATTACCTTTACTTTCTATTAACTTTTATTCGTAAATACGTTTAAAAAATACCCGAGTATGCCGACGTCAAACATCGGAAATTTTACCTATAGCGGACGTCTAATATCGGTAAGATAACTGTATTTAAAAGTACTTCAACCTGTATTTCTAAAGAATGCCGTAATTTTAGAGAAAACATTTGTGGATTTTTACCCAGAGGTGGCTGAGAGGAACAACCATTGACTTCAAAACATTTTTTGAGCGTCCCAAGGTTCGAGGTCTCAACGTAGAGGGATTTTCGACACGTATATTCTAGCTAGGTTGAATTCTGCCGTTTGCTGGAAGGAATTATAGTGGTTTTCTGAACAGATATTTTTCCATTGTTTATTCTGATCAGTACCAGGCGAAATGCTGAAAGCAGTTCTCCACGAAAAGCCCACTAATCGCGCGTTATCTTTTCTCCTCTCCGTCGCCTTTCAATACACACACTCTTTCACGTTACTACACTGCCACATCATCGGGAAGCAGTTCTGAACCTACTGTGACTGATCAGAATTTACTTGCAGAGAGGACACCACGCTGAAGCCCCAGTTACTGCTTAAACGCCTCATTCATTCACAACGGGAAAATAAACAGTCTTCTCCGATTTATTGCATTGGACTAGTGGACCACCATGCTTCGTTATACACTTCGCGTGCTATTAACACTCAAACGCTATTTCCACGTGATTGTTAATCACTGTTTTGCTACGCTCTGCAACAATTTCAATAGACGAAAGACTGTTTCCACGAGTTGTGATTCATCATTTTCTCTCTCTCTCTCTCTCTCTCTCTTCTCTCTCGCTCTCTCTCTTCTCTCTCTCTCCTCTCTCTCTCTCCCTGTGCCTCTGCTTCCTCTAGAAAGTCTTATCGCTGACATAATATGCAATGAAGACTTTGTAATAATTGTTACTTCGGGGTGCAGTGGGTTGCGTAAGACATTTCAGGGGCCCTTGGAGTATACATTAAATCATCAACGCCAAACTATGTCGTAGCATGATTCACACTCCCCCACCGTACTTTGGCCATATTCTTCCCGAACAGTAATCCAATAAGTTGACCAAAGATTTATCCCGCCAATCGTTTGAACGGTACGGCAGCGCAGAAGCACGAACAAAAAAAAACAAAACGTGCTTATACATTAGATTGTTCATATCTGCAGTTTCCACCGTCAACTGTCAGTGCCCCGTGATGTTTGCACTGCACTTTTATCCCGGATGAAGATGTGCTCTCAGGCGCTTGATATTGAGATTCGGCGTGACCTACATGTCGGCTGTCGGATTCCCCATCAAGAATTCTCCCCCAGCGGGGCAGCGCCCCTTCCGGAACAAACTTATGCTTTTAACTGCGTCTTCAGACAAGTACCAGAAGAGGAAGTACGGCCCTATGCCACCAGCTAATTTAAACTAGAGTGAAAAGTACCCACCCGGTGTGGATTCACGCCTCAACTTCCTGGCCAGTGAGTTCCTTAACCAGAGCAGTGTTTTGTGATCTTAGCTCCAATCTCAGCCTCCTGCCTAAAAGGCAAACATGCACTTACACTTTACGTGACTAATTACGAATTTAGAAAAAAGCAACTGTGATGTCCCTAATAGTTGTACTACGTACACTAATGTAATGTTTTTACCATGTAGTAATGTTTTTCTCTTGCCTTAGTCAGATCAGTCTGAACCAGTAACAAGTAAATCACCTAATGGATACTCGGATTAACGTGAAATTTTACCAGCTTCTTCATAGTAGTAATATATTTTTTAGTGCCTGTAAAGCATTGCAAGAAGATGTTTGCTCAATCGCGTTGGACCTTTAGCGACCTTGCCACCTACGGAAGTGCCGCACATCGCCGCGCGCCCGTCGCTGTCAGCTATCCCGTCATCAGGGCGTCCGTTGTCTCGGTGCCCGCCCAAGACCACCAAAACCGGATTAAAGCATCCATGATCAAAATCAGCCCGAGAGGTTCTTGCGCGTCAGTATTCGACTTCAGCAATGAGACGTCGACACCACTGTGTCACAATTATTAAGCCGCGGAATTGTTATGCAGAGAGAAAAAACCAAAATATCACGTTACAAGACATTCCAACAGACTTATGAAGCATTTTTTTAAAACATCTTGGTACACCACGCCACGTTTGTTTTTTACCGGTTTACCGTTGAAAAACTGTCACTTTGTACCACTTTCAAAATGTTTCTCAACACAACTCCCCTCCATGCAACATGGTGGCCAGCGTCTGGTCTGGCTTTCAAACGAAATGCCCGTGCTGCGATCACGTGATATCGAGGACGCAAGCTGGTGTTGCGCAGAGGAGCAAAAATCCGGTTGCGCTGGAGGAACCCGTGTATTTCACCGTGATCCAAACACCAGTTGGTACAGATTTGTGCCACCTTCAAAACGATAAGCATTGTCAAATCTTCGGCGCGTGCGCCGTTTCAAGCCTTCGCATTCCCTAGTGCAACTGCGCATGCGTTAGAAGCATCGATAGCACCTGTCCGCTATGGCGTGCACAAACTCCCAAATTGCAAGGATGGCCATCAATAATTTTAGCATTTCAACCAAAATTACGACAATATTGTCCAAGTGTAAAAAACCAGTGATTGTAAATGTAAATTCCATCAAGCGCATCTTCGCATGCTACGTAAATCGTTTCCAATTCAGCAGCTGGATAGTTACGGCAGGAGCGCGTAGCTGGCGCGGTCCTCTAACAGCTGACGGTTACCGAGACATGACCCAAAGACGGATAATGTTATTGGAGGTATTACTTCAAGTGCAAAAGCGCTCAACCCCCCCTAGGGACTTTGAGGACGCGTTGCTCAATTGCAGACGCTACTTTTTTTTTAATCAAGAGAATCCTCTTGCCGTATAAGAAATTAAACTACATTTTGAATCGCCGTTTCAAGTTTGCTACTGTCGACAAGCAGCGTCGTTGTGGACAGCTTCCGGATTCAGCGTTTACGCTCCAACGGGCACCCGTCTACGTGAATTGAATTGAATTTGCCTTATTTTACGTGGCGAGACTCGGGCCATCTCCGTCTGACCACGCCAAATTTTCGCTACGCTCCTTTCACCAACTAGGAGAGAAAGGAGTTATTTCTTGGGCTGAGAAACAGGCCGATTTGAATTTAGCCTCAGAGGCTCATTGAGCGCTTGAGGATCTTTACAGTGCAAGTAAATCTACGAACATAGGGACAGCCGGCTTTACTTCCCCTCCAAGAAGGCGTACGAAGGATTTTTTCGCCCCTTAAAAATTCACGCTTCGATCGGTTTGAACCCGCCAACTTGTACAAAGTCCAGTAC